CCCCCCCCAACCCCCCCCCCCCCCCCCCCCCCAAGCATTTCTCGTATAATGTGTGCCCTGGGCTTGTTTATTTTTGGAGCCAGAGCGTGCTTTTGAAAGGAATCTCCTGGTCATCTCTTCTTTTTGTATTTTGGCTCACATTATGAAAAAGTCTAGGAGCATGTAAATCCATTTTCTGTTGGATTAAACTGAATTAGAAGATATGTTCTCAAAGTGTATGTAAAGTGCTCCACAGGACCAGTCTTGGATTAGTCCAGAGTGCTTACTTAAAAAAAAGACATAAACAAACAAACAAAAAATCCCCAAATGGCTGATCAGAAGCCTGTACAGAAGACAGTCAGGCTCTTTTCGGTGGTGCCCAGTGACAGGGTCAGAGGAAATGGGCACAAACTGACATTACAGGAGTTTCTGTCTGAATATCAGGAAACAGTGTTTTATTTACTGTGAGGGTGACCAGGCACTGGCACAGGTTAGCTGGAGAGGTTGTGGAATCTCCATCCTTGGATGTATTTACAAGCCATCTGGATGTGGTCCTGGGCGACTGACTCTAGGTGGCTATGCTTGAGCAGGCGGGTTGGACCAGATGACCTCCAGAGGTCCCATGCACGTCCACTTCTGTTGATCCACATTGGTTGCTAATGTGGGTGTAGATCCTATTGAATCACTTGAAGATAAGTTATTTTTCAGTTCCTCCTCTTGTTATAAGCGGTGACGAAAAATTGTACGCCAGCCCATGGGTAATCCAATCAAAGTTTATTGAAGCAAGCGGCAAACAGGCAAAACAGCGCTGGGCGGCCAGGGAGTCTCTGCTCTACCAAGGGCGCGTGCCCCCCCCTTCAGAGTCCCCTTTTTATAGTTTTTTCTGTTGCCAGGTTAGAGTCCAGAGTCCGGGCCCACGTGGGCTTGTGTAGTATCTTCTGCGATTGCACGCCTTGTTGCTGCGGGAGTCGTGGGATGAAGGCTGTAGTCTTCTTCTGTGTTTCTTGTCATCTGGAGCGTGCGTACTTTAAAATACCTCCTCATTAGGCATTGAAAGCTAATACATCTTGTTCACTTAGCAAGACATTGCAGTTACAAAGTTTCCAACCGCACCTGCTTGCAAAGGCTAACAGTGCCTTGGAAAAACAAACACATTGTGCAAGGCTTACAGAACCGGTTTGATTAACAAACACATGAATTTATCACACTCTTTTCTAGAAGAGATCCGAGAAGTGGGATGTTGTATTTCACCTTTGAAATTCTCTGGTGTGTTGCCTAATACAATTTTTAAGTAACAGAGAAAGCGTGACATATGGTATCTGTTCAGATTGACAACTCAGACTTGAGCCCTACTGAAGACATGAAGACTCTTCTGCAAGGACATGTTTCAAAATAGGTGTAATCTTGTCATTTTGGTTGCTATGCTGTGATAAATAAATTTAGTCTCAAACAGGATTCCAATCAAAGTTAACAATTTATTAAATTAATAAATGCAAGCAAACAGCACTGGACACGCCAGCAGCTTCTGCTCTACCAAGATGCGTGCTGTGAAAAACAACCCAGCTTCTTTTATAGTCTAACATTAGTTACATATTCATACTAGGTGTGTTCTTCTAAAAGACTCTCCACCTCCTGGTGCTGTGGGTGCTGTAGTTCTCCTAGAAACTTCTTAAACTCTCCTCATTGGCTGAGGGTCTCCTATACAACGTATCTCCGACCAAGCTCTCCACTGCTCGGCCCACAGCAGCCATCCTGTGTAACAGCCGACACCCCGCACAGCACCAGCTGCGATGACCAGAACCCAAACAAGTTCACAGCAGACACCTCCCCCTCAACAAATGCATACCACGAATGGCCCATCAAGATCCTAAGTACTGCAGTCTCTGAGGCCAAACACACATCCAAATGCCTCAGTTCTCCCCCAGGATCTCTTGTTTAACACTGTGCAGTTAACAACAAAACCGGTTTTGGGCTGGCAAAAAAGAACTATATACATATCATCTGTCTCCTCCCGGCCTGCGGTTATACGAGGACCAACAAAATGGTTAAAGACAGTGAGGGTCACATTTTATTATGCGGCCCTAGCATTGTTTATATTGACACGAATCAGATGAACACATTTCACATATACTATCCACAGAAGTGTTCCAAATACTTGTTTTTATAGAGTAGTTTATAATGTGTATGTCACTGCTTTCTTTCGAGGCTTCAGGTTTTGTGCATATAAAGGTGGTAGGTGTATCTAGGCTTTTTATATGCTGCTTTTCTTTAGAGAATAGTCTTCATTTTTAAAATGTCCTTGGCCTGGCTTAGGTTTTGTAAATGCAGTTTTCTACCTGTTATTGTGGGTACAGTTCACAGGATTTAGATGTGTAACTGTGTGAGGGTGCAGTTAGTGCCTAGATATCTGAGGTATGAACTGTGCTCAGTTACTGATTGTGGATTTTGTATACAGTAGAAGACATGTAAGAGGTCATGAAGTCAGAATTAGTAAGATGGAAAGGAACTGGTCTGGATGTACAGTGCTTGTTTAAGCAAATAATAAGCAGTCTATATGGTTCACATGTTTACTAGTGTCTTAAATACATTGTGAAGATTTCAAATTACAGAAGGACATTTGTGAAATTCATTTGTGTAAGTGAATATTAAATAATTGAAAGATTGGGGCTCTTAAAATAGTACTTGCTTTTCATTAAAGTATTTCATATGTGTTTGTAAAACCTACACTGTTCATCGTAACTAACATTTGTCAGTAGTTGCACTGGTTTGATTTGTGCCTAACCCATGCTTTTTTTTTTTTTGGAAGTATGAACACTGATTCTGTTTATTTTAAAGAGAGAAGAATGGATGAATTTAGACTTTATGTCATTGAAAACCACGTCAGCAGCAGCTGTCAGAGGTGAAAGACACAAAGAAAAAATATTGGAACGACAGAAAGCTCAAGAACTTGAGCAAGTAGGAGGAATTAATATATCAATTTTTTTCTGCATCTTACTAAATTTTGTGTCATGAATGAACCAATCAATTGGTTCAAATATGTTAAGTGTTTGTATAGTTTTTAAACTAATGCCTGATGTGTTGTGTGATAGTGATTTTAATTAAATTGTTCAGTTATTTGTTCTGTTTGGGATGGGAAGGAAGGGTTCATACAGCAGGCTTATCTTGTGGAGAAAACACTTTAAACTATCTCCTAGGTAAGGAGAAAGCGAGTTTTGTTAGTACCAAGTTCTGTAATATTTGAAGTGCTTCTGAGATATTTTCCTTAATGACAGACTGTTGGTCTGGCCTTCTTCCCCATGGTGTGTGTGAAGGGAACACCATTATTTTGTGTGATAAAAGCTAACCTAAGTTACTGTGTTTAAAGTGTAGGGTGCTGAGGCTTGTTTTCTTCCTGAAGAAAGAATTCAGAGTAGTTGCTGTTACTTTCATGCCACGGTTGTGCATGAACATATGGGTGGATCAGGGTCTGGCTGGGGAAGGGGTTGCTGTCATTACATTAGTTCTGTTTACGTACAGTTGCTGGCTGCTTCATTTGTTCATTCAGCTCCTTAAATGCAATACAATGTAGTCTGATCTGAAAACATAGTTTTGGTTATTTGTCTTATGAGAAGGGATATTTGTTTTTTCCCTGCATAATTTTTTGCTGAGCATTTTTTCTGAACTGCTGAAGGACCATTTAATGTGGAGATCTTAAATCACCATAATGTCAGCATGTATTATATGGTTGATGATGATTTATATGTATTTGTGGTCCTAGAAGAATACGATTTTTATAGACTCTGCCACCCAACCACGTGCTCTCCAGTTTTATACTTTTGTGTTTTCTACACCAGAATGTCTGTCCTTTCTTTGATACCCAAAACAATATATACAACAGATGCATACAGCATGCCAATGGTGATGATGAGTGTCAGTGCTGGAATGCATGATCAACCCTTTTCTCCAGTGGACTTCCTTGCCTGCTTCCAGAGAAGTCAGTTGACAGAATCACAATAAGAGATCTAGTTTGAGGGTGAAAAGCAGTAACTTGAGGTAAAACTAAGAGCCCCCATAACAGCAGTGCTTCGGACACAAGTGCATATTACTGCTATGCTGGCAATGCAGTCAAATAGTAGAACTGCTTCTGTGTAATAAGGGTGCCAGCTAAGCACATGTTTGAGAGCTTTGACTCTGGATGGAGTTACATTATTTCTACCTGTGTTTAGATAGCACAAGTTATGAGTAAGCTGTTCTATTCCCACACAAGTCTCACAAAATTTATTTATCGAGTATCATAGAAAATACAAACCATATGCTATGCACACATCAAAATTATTTCTGTTTTAGGCCATGCTGTCTGAGAGAGAACTCAATCCCTATTGGAAAGATGGTGGTACAGGTTTGCCACCAGAGAAGGATGAAGCAGCTTCAGTTAAGAAAGGTAAACAGCAACTTCTAGTCTCTGGTCTCTGTGTTGCTAACAAGTTACTACTAATGTTGATGGAAAGGGATTATGAATAACATGTAAAAAAGTAAAATTTGGATGAAAATTCAGTAGTGAATATTGGATTAACATCATAGTATGTTGTTTTGCAGAATTTCTCTTCACTGGTTTTTAATCTTGAGTGGTTTGACCTTCAATATCTTTACAGAAATTCTCCATTTTGAACTAATTAAAGGAAAGCATGATTTAACCAAGACAAGATAAATTGTTGCATCTCATTTGGTTCCTTTCATTCCATTACACAAATCATAGTTTTAAAATATTCAACCACAGAAGTCTGAGTCACATTAAAATGAACTACCTTACAGATACAGAGTTTGCGAAAAATATTATTTCTGTAACCTTTTCACTTCTTTCTTTACCCTAGGGTTATCCTGCCTATTTCCAGCAAGAGCAGTTAGAAAAATGTTTTTCATAATGTCATAAAGTGTTTATTATGGGATAAGAAGGATGCTTGTATTCTGTCAACAGGGAACAGTAGGGTTCCCGGCTTTTCTCTTTGGGAGCCTTTCCTGTGGACAGTCTGTCCTACAAACCATTAGCCTCATGCCCACTTTTAGGAGTCAGAGATGAGCCATCTGTAAGAGGTGACAGGCATCAGTGAGTATATGTCCTGAATGTTAAGACCTCTGCTAGCTTCTCAAATGGAAAGCAGTGGTTTACTCACTAATTTTCTGAGAAGGAGAATGCACTTGTTTGTATGTAAGGAGTATGCCAAAGAATGGACATGGAAAGTGGAAATAGTAAGAAGGTTCTTTAATTTTGTAAGAAAACCCCCACAACTTCTCATATGCCACTCCTGTCTTGTAAACTGCTTGTTGTGTTCTGTGATAAAATGGAGCTTAAATTAAATCAGTGGTATTACTGAGGTATATCCAGCATTAACTTATAAAACCATGTAATTTTATTATAATATTCTTTGTATTCTTCTTTTGCACCCCTTCAATTTTTACATTAAGTTTAGGTGAAGGTTTAATGTCATGTACAGAGTAAGGTTAAATGGGAGTAACTATTGAGATAAAACTATGACCTCTCATTGTTTTCTGCTTTAGTTACAGTGGTAGAAGATGCTGGATTAAGTTGGCTACAAAAATCATATCAAAGAATGAAGGAGCAGGCTGAGAGAGAGAAACGAAATTTTGAGGAAATTGTAGCTGAGAGATATGGGGTAAGGATCTTCAATTAAATTTTTGTCATACTAATAGATGCTTGGAAAAGGTTACTTTCATGTAAAGGCACAAATACTTAATGTGTGGTGTAAGATATAAGGAAAAAAGCAGGAAAAAAAAGCCTCTGAAGCTTATCTCAAGCTATGAAGAGTTTAAAGCTACCCAGCCTTTTAGATCTTTTTTGTTAAGTATTTTTTAATATATGGGATCCTATAGCAAATTTAAGATACTTAGCTTCTACATCAGGAGGTTCAAATGATCCCAGTTACAAAATACCCAAGTGCTTCCAAAATTATGATGTATACTAGAAAATATATTTTGTTCTCCTGCACGTAGTGGATAATAATGCATGTTGTGGATAATAATAATGCCAAGATAATTTTGAGAGCTGTGTCAGATTTTACCTACTATGAATCTTCTGGCCGCTTGTGATCTGCTCAGTCCAGCTACACTGAGAAAGCTGCTTGCTTCTGAAGGGTTTAAAAGTCTTCAAAATTTATTTTTAATGAAACAGTCTGCCATAACAATATTACTTCTTTAAAGCTTGCCCCCTTTACATATTTTATTATTGTCTTTGAAAGCATTGGTCAAAGGGGTGGGGTGTTAAATCTTGGCCATAGTGTTACATTTGAGTTTTCTGTGGTTTTTTTTGATTGGGCTGGTTTGGTTGTGGAAATCTTGGATAAGACAGTATGACTTCATACTATTGTCTTTGAACTGAACTGTAGTCACTTCTGAGTGATAGAACCAACGTGGTCAGTGCTGGTAGAAATTATTCAGTGCCAGTGATTGTAAAGAATATTATTTTTAAGAATCTTTCTCAGGAAACTAGAGTTGAAACAGCATGAACCACTCTGGCTGCTAAAGTACAGCATAGTGATTGAAAGAGATCCCTGCCTGATTTGCTTCAGTATGTAATGTTTTGAGAAAAAAAAAAAAAAGAAAAAGAAAAAAGTAGTTGGTGGCTTTTAATTCAGCTTAAAAGAGAGAAGAGGAACAGGCCACACTTTGCATAATTGCCTAATGGATAGAGTATTTGTCTGGAACCTGAGACAGGGGTTCAAAGCCTGTTTCAAGCTAGTTTTTGAACCCACTCTCCAGTATTTTTAAGAGTTTAACTAGATTGTAAAATGGTTTAGTGGGAACATCCATTGGTTTTATGGAAGCTGAGCATCTGGCCAGCATAAATGCAAAGTTATTGAGTAAGAAAGAGGAAGCCTTTCTCCCTAGCTCAAGCCCCTAATCTCCAGGTTGCCAGGAGGAGACAGTTCTGAGGCTTTGGTCCCTGTTCCTAGGAGTGCTTTAGCACTTTACTTTAGAGCCACGGGATGAAAGTTAGAAATAGTCCAAGAGAAGAGAGCAGAAAGCCTTCCCAACAGACAGTCTTAGACACGAGGCTGTAAGTTTCATTTTTCATACTACTCTTCCACTCCATGGTTCATGCCTTGCCCTTTGCACAGTGACTCATTTTCACAGAATGGTGCCTTTCTTGTAATAATTTTGTAGGGAGCTTCACGATACTCCATGATCTTAAAAGCAGCATGACTTTTTTTATTTTTTCTTATAGTCAGTGGAGGTATTTCAGTCACGATTAGAAGAAGCTGAAAAAGTTGCATCCAGAAAGGAAAATTATTATCGAAGTGGAAGATGGAAGAAAACTGACTATTCAGAAAGTGAGAAAGAAAAGAAAGAGCAGCATATGAAAAAGGAGACACGAGATGAAGATGATAGAAACAGGAATGTGTTTGGGGGTTATACTAGGGAGAAGTATGGCAAGGGATGGGCGCAAGAAGACAAAGATTACAAAAGAGGTATGTCAGGAGAAGACCAAGAATGTGGACACAGTAGCACAGACTCAGTATTCAGAGGCTACAGCTCCAAAGCAGAAAAACACTCTGATGAAAAACGAAGTCAGGAAAAGAGTTCGTCTCTAAGCAACATGAAACAAAAATTTCTGAAACCCTCTGAAGATGATTTATCGTCTTACAGTGCACCTAGAGACTATAGGTCACAGCAGTCCTCTTCCAAACTGCCAGTTCATAGGTCTTTGAGCAGCCATTTCCAAAAACCTAGTGAGGATACTGCACTGTGGACCAAAACATGCAAAGAAGATGACAATGAGAAATTAATGTCTGATCAAAAATCATCAGGTACTAGGGAACAAATTGATGACAATAGTTGGGAAATAACTCCAAGTGATGAAAAACAGAAGTTGCAACAGGAGTACCCAAGTGATATCGCTGAGAAGAAACAAACGTTATCTGACAGTAAAACATCATGTTCTAGGTATTTTACAAACATTTTTACTTGTCTTTTATTTGCTGTATTTTTCATGGTAAAGTATACCAGAAACTCTATCTTTGTGACAGTATTAGATCTGATCATATCATATCTCTTTAGTTAGGAGGAGGCTATCCTCCCAGCTAGGGGCAGCTAAAACAGACCACTGTAGAAGTAATGAACAGCCCCTATTTGTCCTGTCTCCTCAGCATATTTGAGAATTGCTAATGATAGATTATTTTCTGCTTCTTTCTAATGTTAGTTCACACTGCAGTAAAATTGGCCTCTTAGGTAAAAACCTGCAAAACAGTATCTTAACTGTTGTTGAATTCATAAAAGACAAACTTGAAATGTTAGAAAATGCTGACGAAAAACTGAATTAATTAATACAGCAGGGATAGATTTGCCACCTGTGAGATGAAATCATACGCTGAAGTACTAGCATATGAAAAATAATAGAAGGTATTGATTAGAAAAGTGCATTTTCTGTGGAAAAGAGGAAAGATGAATATGAGTGGCAAGGGAAATGCAAACTAATATGCAGTAGGAATTTCAGTTTGCCTGACTTGCTTTAGTGAAAGACAGCAGAGTAGTAAGGAGAGGTGGTCAGAAAAGTAAGTTGTGGACAACTGAGCTTTTGCTCTACTCGAGGCCACCTGTTTTCCAGTATTACCAGTTTGCTGGTTCTTCCAGTGATACCAGTAGTGTGGTTATTACTGTGAATGCTTTCCTTCAGATCTTCCCAATAATAGGTAGGCACATGCAGAAGTATTTTATAGTCAGGATGGTGTTATTTAATTGCTTGGGAAAGCTGGACAAGTAAATATTCTTGGTCAGAGTGTGTAAGAAGGATGATATAATTTAGTTGGAAACAACATTTGATGAAATATGATCAAGCGTAATTCCTTCTTTCTTATAGGCTTATGTCCGTTACTTGCAGAAAAAACTTCTTATAGCAGGGTTATGAATTTACTTTTAATGTTTAATCTTTGGATTCTAATAACAAGACGATACCTTAGAAGTATTTATTTTATTTATAACTGTTCCTGTGTGTAGTACTTGCAGATACCTCACTGTGTATTTGCAAAGAAATACGGTATATTAAATGAGTACTGCATGACTAACCAGGGACAGGCAGCTTAGTGTACACAATTCTTTGTACTGTATAGGTTGGGTTTTTCCAGATTTTTACTTGCTGTATTTTCTACTTTGATAGGAGCCAATTAAATCTACATTTTCTTCGATAGCAGGAAGATAAATTGTTTGCATGATGTTCACCTAATCTAATTTATTTATTTAAAAAAAGCATGAGTTTGCATATACATCATGGCAGGAGTAGTTCCCGATTCTGGCATGAATGGTTTGTATGCACTATGGGAAGTCCCACTCACAAGTGTTTGTCATGTCTTGTTTTATTGTTTATTTTAGTATTTGGCTAGGTGTTCTTTTGCTGGAAAATGAGAAATATATATTTATAGTTGTTTTAGTTACTCTGAAAAAAAATATTGTAGCATTAAGCCTGTGGTGTATGAGACATTATTCGACATTGGAATTTAGTGATCCTCTGTTTATCTAGATACTGCCCAAATAGATACTGCCCTGAAGCACCTGGGGTTTACTACTTAAGTGCACTTTGTAAACTCCTGATAAGAGCGATTCACAGTCTGAGCTGGGGCCTATGAGACTCCCTCAGCTCTTGAGTTCAGGTTTGTTCATGACTTTGTTCAGGTGCAAGATCTGCACAATCCACGGTTGTTCTTTGCCTGCCTTGGGTAGTGCATCGGTTTACATAAGGAAACATAGGTATTCATGTAAGGAGGGATGCTGTGGTGAGCTGGGAGAGTGCATCTGTGCTGCAGTTCAGGCACAGACTCCATGAAAATGAAAATATACACTCAGAACTATATGTCTGGAAAAAAACCCACCCTGTTAAGAAGCTTTTTTGGGCACATAAAAAGGCACAATTACGTGTGGTTAGAGCCTTATCCTTCATCTTTAAATATCATGCACCTTTTTAACAAAACTAAATACTTCACTGATTAGCAGCAAGTAATCTGTGTAAATAACATATAATCCTTTAGTAAGTCTACCTTCATTCTCAGTTTTGTTTTCTCCATGACTCCTGAAAGGAGGAAGCAAGATCTAACAGCTGTGTCACACAGCTGATAGCAAACAGGAGTTCTGACAACCAGTATACTTTATTTCACTGTAGTGAACTACTGGTTTGGACTGGTGATTGTTCAAAATGCAGAGACTGAGTGAGAGAGACCATGTGAAGACACGGCACCCTGTTTTTTGGGGGGGGGGGGGGGGGGGGGGGGGGGGGGTGTGTTTGGGGGGGGCGTGGTGTG